TATTGAGCATATATAAGTTGTTTTATAAATTACTTACAAGACAACTAGCTCGCATGCATTCGCACAAGCTTCGCACAGGTTGAGTGAGCCTTTTCGCTTTGATTATTGTTTAGAGAACTAAATAAATAGAAGTTGGATACATGTAGTGTTCTAAAAAGCTTGTCTAGACACCAACTAAACTTGAAGCTTGGGCAAAATGTCTCTAGACCCCTTTTTATTTATCAATTTCTAAATGGTTGAATTTTCCTCCATCCCTTCGCTTTCCCTAGGCGTGTTTTATTATTATTTTTTTAAAAAAAGTTTTTTGTTTGACTTTAGTTTATTAATTTTTATTTTTTAAAAAAATTTACTTGACCTTAATTTTAAGTTTTTTTAAAAAAATTATTTGCATAAAAGATAAAAATAACTGTATTCGATAAATAGTTAAATAAGATTGAAAATATAGTGCTAGCTACATTATGTAACTACTCGTTATTTTGTTGAAAATTTCAAAAAACATGTATGAAATTCCTATAAATCTATTCAGTAGGGCAAGTCTAGTTGAAAATTGAAATTATGAAAAATAGTTTAGTTTTTGAATTTTGAAAACTTAAAAATTGTACAAATTGATTAATTGTAAAAATTATTTAGTAAATTTATTATTTTATGATTTTAGATGTTTGAAATGTATTATTTTATTATTAAATAATTTTTAAAATGATTAAAATTTTAAAATAATATTAAAAAAAGGAAAACGCGTTTTTACATATAGACTCACTTAAGCTCGTAAAGCTTGAAGTTTTAACTCTACATCTAGTCACGCTTTACGTTTTCTAGAACACTAGATACATGTCTATTGAATCCCAAAATTCTATTTTAAAAAAGGTTAATCTTTGTAGGATGAGTAATTATGTTGACTCCAAATATCGAAACCAACAAAACCTTTACCACCTGATTGTCAAGTCGCCTTTAATTGCCTTTTCCAATCATCAAAGTGTTGGAAAAAAATGAAATTGAAATGCTGACTTTGTCATAAATTTTGAGTGAGACTCGTTTATTTATCTTGAAAGACCAAAATTGATTTGTTGACGACGCTAATCAATTCCTTTATTAATATAATATTTTGAAGGTTTACTCAATCCTAAGTTTCTAGGTAAGATCATGTTGACTTCACTGGACTAGATTCTTGCCGTACGCGGCGAGGGGACTCGTATGGCAAAACGATTCTAATGAAGCAGTTTTAGGTTCGATTTGTAGTGCCCTTATTGTGCAAATACATGACGTTGATGTGGGGATATTTTGTGACGTGTAGAACTATATGGTAAGAAAATCAAACACTTTTTAACATGTAATGGATATGTAATTTTACTATCAAAATGTCTTCTTACAAGATGGTAACTCGTTTGTCATCTATCAATCTTTCAAAATTGAAGCAAATTAAATTGCTCGATTCCCAACCTTAATTACCTATTATAAAATACATATTGACTCAAATCGACAATTCTCATTGTGTACTAGTTAGGGGTGAACATGGTTCAATTTGAACTGATTGTAACAAATTTGCAAATCGAAAGTACTTCAATTTCTAAATCAAATCAATCTAAACCACTTTTTTCAATTTGGTTCGGTTTAAAATCACAGTTTAATAAAGAATGAAAAATATCAAACGAGGTAAATCATAAATATTAGTCTAAAATTTCACATTAACACATAAATAGTATCACTAAAAATATTACTGACCAAAGTTCTAATAATTATAATGCAACAACATGATATAAACATTTTAACCTTTAAGTCGATATTAGTTGACTCAATATCTACAATTATAACGCATGATTCATTCTTTCCATAAATGTAAGAATATAGTACATGAATTCATTTATTATAGGTAAATGGTGTAAAATAACTAATAGAAGAAGATGAATATAAAGTTCAAATACGATAATACATTCTATAAACTTTTAGAGAACCATACAACGTTTCTATCTCATCCAAATGTTGATTAATCATTGTAAGCTTTTTGTTACTATGCAACCAATTTTAAGGAAAAATCGCAATCTCAACCATATTTACACTCAATAAACTCCTAAAGGAATGAAGAATTTGATCATTAGTTGAAAATGCAGATTCATAAACAATTGTGGATCTTTGAATAATAACACCTTCTCAGAAATCTAGGGGACAATTTTGTACTAATTCCCATTCAATTTCCACCAAAATAATATGACGAAAAGTTCATTGATCAAATCTTCAAAATGACAATTTAAATAATTCACCAAATCATTCTAACAATTAATAGTAAAATCTAGAAGCTAAGTTAAAATTAAATAATTAATTTAGTGACCGGCTAGGAAATTGAGATGTAAATAAATAAAAAATGATGTCCGTTAAAAATATTTCGGTATCTTAAAATTATTTAATAAAAAAATTGCCAATTGTGATGACCGATAGATATTTATGTATGATTTAATTAATTAATTGAGATGGACAATTGTCTATTTAGGTATTAATTTTAATTGAGCTATATCTAATATGAATGCATCTTTTTATCTATGATACGTTTATTTTAGGTGAGTTGGATAAAATTTAAATAAATTTTTATTTTCAATTATTTTAGTTAAAGATTTGATAGTTTGAAACAGTTTGCAAATATTAAAATCTAAACAAAATCACTTCTTCGATTCAAAATCAAAATATTGACGGATCCATGTGAATCGCAATCAACGATTTCAAAAAAGCAATTTTGATTCAATTTTACGATCCGACAATTTCTATGTTCAACCCTAATGCTAGCCTTGTGCATAAACAACATTGCTACAAGTGAAAAATCTAAAGGTTGTGTTTACCTCCTCGAGTCGCTGAGGGGTCGGTGGCTCGAGGTCTAGGATTTAGTCCGACTAAATTGAGATATCTGAGTATTAAAAAAAAAAAAAAAATTTAAAGGTTGGGCTTCAACCTTTAAAAATCTAACATGGTAATTCCGAGGCTGTTTTGGTAAATGGAATCATTGGTACTAGATTTACTGACAGATAGCATGAAGACACATGCACATTTGTGGTAACAGTGCAGTCACTATTCAAGATGGTCCATCATAGATTAACAACGGTCAGGATTTAATCACCGTGGGCCCGTACGTATACTAGTACAATCCTGCTCTGCTGCACCTTATAAATAATTCATGACATGTTCTCAGCAGCAGCTGAATTTATAAGCGCGTGATAACACGTGTCAGGGGATGCGGGTGGAAAATGGAAATCCTTATGGGCAATGCTAATTTGTTAGAGCAGCCTTTTTTGTTTTTGAGTTTATGGCTTGTTTGGATGAACATATTCTAATTAACTTTTTAGCTCAAATAATTTATCTTTTTTTTTTTTAAAGGAAAATGTTGTTTTTTTCTTTCAAACATTTTAATTTATTGTCAAAATAGGTAACTTTTGTACTAAACTTATTTAAGTAAATTTACTTAAAATGTTGATTTAGTGAAATAATATAAAAAATAATTAACACTCTAAACACTCGTTGATTCAATTCAATACTCAGAATTTGATTATTAAATATTCGTTGATTCACAAAAAATATCGAACAATTGAAAAAATGAGAAACTATCAAATTCAATCCATAAATAAACAAGTTACAATAAACCATAATTCAAGATTTCAAAGGAAAATAAGAAATTCTCGCTTACTATTTCTAAACAAAAACAAAATTTAGGAAAATAATCTAACCAATTCTCCTAATAATTAAAACAAGAAAACAAATAAATAAAAATTAATTTATCTGAATAATGAAAGTTCTAATTTGATAGCTTAAACAATAGTTTGGCCACAAAATGATGGGATCAAGGGTTTAAGAGTCCAGTGTTAGTGGCTTGTGTTAAAATTTGATATTTTATTTTAAAATGTCAACTTTATTAAGAGTAGTAGCCAAAATTCTTATAAGTTGGTCTATATTTTCATCTTTGTTCGATGTGAGATTTTACTCCTCAACACCCTCTCATCTTAATCAGATCGAATCGTTCGTTTGAATTTAATGATTTTCGATACCATATTAAGACTTGTGGTTCAACTTTAAAAGGTCAATCTTATTAAAAGTAGTCCAAACCTTTATAAGTTATTTTTATCTTTATCACTTAACAGGTAGTTTCTATCTAGAAAAGCGATATTATATCAAATTTCGACACCATTAAACATATACAATTGCATCAAAAGGTGAACTTTAAAGATTAGCCAAACATGACCTTAAGGTGGGAAGAGATAAAATAAAAGTCAATATTTCATTCATGATGAAAATTAGAAGCAAGAAACAAAAAGGAAAACGAGAAAGAAAGCCATCATGAAATTATAGTCCCAATTAAGATGCTGAAAAAGTAGTTTTTACTATTTTATTTATTCTCTAAATCTCGACTTTGTTATTTTTATATGATGAGTATAATTTGTCACTTTGTTGTTAAAAGAGATGCATAATTTGTGTATATAGAAATTTACCGAAAGAAAGTCAAAAGGCTTGCTGTCTGAAGGAAGAATGAAACTTCTTGGCATAATTTTTAATGTTGTGATTATAATTAATAATCATAATTAATTAAAGGGCATGGAATCTCCATTAAAATAGACAGCGATGGATCCATCCGTTGATCTCACTCACACGTACGGGGAAAACCTAGAGAGACAAGCTGATTGTTTTACCATTGCAAGCAATATAGAGAGAGAGAGATAGAGAGAGATGGATATATGGGTCACATGCCATGTGACCAACAGCTGTGTCCATTCCCCAATAACCCTTAACAAATAATTCAATATATATATATATACACACTTGTTACCTTACGCACTCTCGCTTTCTTTTGACTGCTTTCAGTTTTCACCACACACGCTCACTCTCTTTCTCTTTCTCTTTCTCTCAAGAAATGCTAATCCACTTTTCGTGTCTACACCACATCTCTCTCTCTCTCTCTCTCTCTCTCTCTGAAATGAAGCTGAAATCCTAGAGAGGAATTCATAAATCAAAAACTGATGAATTTGAAGATGGAAATTGATAAAAATTCAACCAATATTTTGTTTCTGTATCATCATCAACTATTTATTATCTGCTTCTTGTTCATTTCTCTGTCTTTTCAACAAGTTTCTTCAGCAACACCTCCCAATGGCCTCATCAGAGACTCGCAACAGCTCATTTCTTTCAAGAATTCACTCCCCAACCCTACTGAACTCCGAGACTGGGTGTCCACAATCAGCCCTTGCAATTTCGCCGGTGTCTTCTGTAAAAATTACAGAGTCTCCTCCATAGACCTGTCGGGCTCCCATCTTAATACAGATTTCTCCGCAGTGGCGAATTTTTTGTTGGGCATCCAGAACTTGGAGTCCCTTGTGCTGAAAAATACCAACCTCAGTGGTGCACTCACTTCTATTTCAAGATTACCATGCACTAGTTTCTTGAATTCCATAGATCTAGCAGAAAATGGCATTTCAGGGCCTGTGACTGATATTTCAGCCCTTGGAGTTTGCTCTGGTTTGGTGTTTCTTAATCTCTCTAGGAATTTCATGGACCCTTTTGTCAAGGGAACTACCAGAAGCTTCCCCGCAGGATTATCATCGTTACACGTTCTTGATATTTCTTACAATAATATTTTGGCTCCGAACGTGGTTTCTTGGCTTTTCTCGAATGAATTTGCGGAGCTTCAGCAACTGTCTTTGAAGGGCAATAAAATGACAGGGAGTTTGCAGCAGTTGAATTTCAAGAATTTGATTTATTTGGATCTTTCCACGAATAATTTTTCCTCCAATTTCCCACGGATTGATGACTGCTCCAAATTGAAACACCTGGACTTATCTTCCAATAAATTCGTTGGCGATGTTGAGGATTCACTTTCTGGTTGTGGAAAGCTTAGTTTCCTTAACCTCACCAACAACAAGCTTACAGGCACAGTTCCAAAGCTGCCAAGTGGGAGTATGCAGTATCTTCATCTCAAGGAGAATGGTTTTCAGGGTGTTTTTCCACCCTTTCTCTCTGACTTATGCTCAACCCTTGTGAAGTTGGATCTCTCCTTCAATAATTTGACAGGTACTGTTCCAGAAAGCCTTGGTACATGCTCCGCTTTGGTATTTCTTGATATCTCCAGCAACAATTTCTCTGGTGAGTTGCCTGTTGATACACTCTTGAAATTGAGTAATATGAAGACTTTGATGCTGTCTTCCAATAATTTTGTGGGTAATTTGCCTGATTCTTTCTCAAAGTTGGTAAATTTGGAGACTTTAGATGTGAGTTCCAATAATATTGCTGGTTTGATTCCTTCTGGGATCTGCCAAGACCCTAGGAACAGCTTGCAAGTGTTGTACCTTCAGAATAACTTGTTCAACGGTCCAATACCAGAGAGTCTAAGTAATTGTTCACAGTTGGTTTCACTTGATCTTAGCTTTAATTATTTGACTGGGACTATTCCCTCTAGCTTGGGGTCCTTGTCAAAACTCAAGGATATGATCATGTGGATGAATCAACTCCATGGGGAAATCCCACAAGAGTTGATGTACCTAAAGAATTTGGAAAATTTGATTCTTGATTTCAATGACCTGATAGGATCAATCCCTGCTACTCTTAGCAGTTGCACGAAATTGAACTGGATTTCTTTGTCAAATAACCATTTGAGTGGTCAGATACCTGCTTCTTTGGGACGTTTGACTAGTCTTGCAATTCTGAAGCTCGGAAACAATTCGTTCTCTGGTAGTATTCCTGGGGAACTAGGTGACTGCCCTAACTTGTTATGGTTGGATCTTAACACTAATTTGCTGAATGGGACTATTCCACCTACTCTGTTCAAGCAATCTGGCAACATTGCAGTAGCAGTTCTGACAGGGAAGAGGTACGTTTACATCAAGAACGATGGAAGCAAACAGTGCCATGGAGCAGGGAATTTGCTCGAGTTTGGAGGGATTAGAGAAGAACATTTGGATAGGATTTCAACTAGGCATCCCTGCAATTTCACCAGAGTTTACAGAGGTATCACTGAGCCGACATTCAATCACAATGGTTCCATGATTTTTCTTGATCTTTCTTACAACAAGTTGGAAGGAAGTATTCCAAAGGAGCTTGGGTCCATGTACTATTGTTTTGTTCTTAATTTGGGGCACAATGATCTATCTGGACCTATTCCTCAAGAGCTTGGAGGACTGAAGACCGTTGCAATCCTTGATTTGTCCTACAATAAGTTGAATGGAACAATTCCACAATCTTTGACGAGCCTTACATCGCTGGGAGAGATTGATATGTCAAATAACAATCTCTCTGGGATGATTCCAGAATCAGCTCAGTTCGTTACATTTCCAGAATATAAATTCGCCAATAATTCCGGTCTTTGTGGAATCCCTCTGCCGGCATGCCAGCTTAAAGCAGATGCAGGAAGTAGTCAGCATCAGAAGTCACATAGGAGGCAAGCATCCCTCGCTGGCAGCGTGGCAACAGGGTTGTTGTTTTCCCTCTTTTGCATCTTCGGGGTTGTAATTGTTGCCATGGAAATTAGGAAAAGGAGGAGGAAGAAGGAGGAGGCTGCCCTGGATGCCTATATGGACAATCACTCCAACTCAGCAACAATGACAGGCAACTGGAGACTCAGTGCTCGTGATGCGTTAAGCATTAACCTTGCAACTTTCGAAAAGCCTCTCAGGAAGCTCACTTTTGGAGATCTTCTTGAAGCCACTAATGGCTTCCATAATGATAGTGTTATAGGTAAAGGCGGATTTGGGGATGTGTACAAAGCTCAGTTGAAGGATGGAAGCGTCGTGGCTATAAAGAAATTGATACATGTCAGCGGGCAGGGGGACCGGGAATTCACTGCTGAAATGGAAACCATTGGGAAAATTAAGCATCGTAACCTTGTTCCCCTCTTGGGGTATTGCAAGGTAGGTGAGGAACGGCTCTTGGTTTACGAGTACATGAAGTATGGAAGTCTAGAAGATGTTCTGCATGACAGGAAGAAAATAGGGCTCAAGCTAAATTGGGCAGCAAGGCGGAAAATTGCAATTGGAGCTGCGAGGGGATTGGCGTTCCTTCATCATAATTGCATCCCACACATTATTCATCGTGATATGAAGTCGAGCAATGTTTTGCTTGATGATAATTTGGAGGCTAGGGTTTCTGATTTTGGAATGGCAAGGCTTATGAGTGCAATGGACACTCACTTGAGTGTCAGTACATTAGCAGGGACCCCCGGATACGTCCCTCCTGAATATTACCAGAGCTTTAGATGTTCAACGAAAGGTGACGTATACAGCTACGGTGTAGTATTGCTCGAGCTTCTTACTGGAAGGCAGCCAACAGATTCAGCTGATTTTGGTGACAACAATCTTGTAGGTTGGGTAAAGCAACACGCTAAACTGAGAATAAGTGATGTTTTTGATCCTGAGTTGTTTAAAGAGGATCCGACCTTAGAGATCGAATTATTACAACACCTAAAAATTGCATGTGCTTGCTTAGATGACCGACGTTGGAAACGTCCCACTATGATTCAAGTCATGGCAATGTTCAAAGAAATTCAAGCAGGCTCGGGAATGGACAGCACTGCTTCCACGATCACAGAAGAGGTTGGCAATTTTAGCGCAGTCGAAGGGGTAGAAATGAGCATAAAAGAAGGCAACTAGTCGAGCAAGAACTTGTGAAAGCTTGAACCAAAAATTGAGGATTCCTTGGCAAAGATAAGAAGGGGATGGCTAGCATTCATTCACCTTCCAATTTTTCCGGCTCTGATACCATGTCAATCGGTGTAAAACTACGCTTGTATTTCTACCAAAATTATTGTATGTACCATTAGACCCTTTTAAGAAATCTTGTTATTATACATAAAAAGGATGTTTTTAACTTGTAACAATGTTGTACATATACAGTTTTGAGTTTGTTATGTTTCTTTTAGTTTCCATTGCTGTCTTGAAACAGATCTTCAGTTTCAGATCTAATCTTTGAAATTCAATGGATCTGTGACCTCACACAGTGATGGTGACTAAGTGATGGGTTTTTTGGACTTTTCCATTCTCATCATTATTCTTTTTATTTTTCTCCAATTTTTTTAATGATTATAAAATTATATAAAAGCCAATGCATGTCCCTTGTCGTGCATGCATGCAAGTCACAATTCTAATATCCATTAAGACCAAAATCGTGTTTCCAGTTGTGGGCCCTTCTCTCTCTCAATATTCCAGCCATTTTTACCTGTTTCTCTCACTTATAATTAACAAAAAAAAAAAAGATATACCATTGATCCAATAATATCAAGGATAAATTAGTAATTTCAACGTCTTAATAATACAGGATCTTCGACCGAGTCAACCTTCTTAATTGTGCATGGTTTATTTTATCGTGGCAATCAAATAAAGTTACCAATTATTAATTGGACCCTTCGAGAATGATGAGATGCAAAGTAGAGATCTCCATTCATTCAATGTAAGAAATTTTAGTAATAATCCCGAACTTGAGAATTTATTTTCGATTATTATTGTTCAAGAATCACCTATAGAAACTCTCTGTGTACGTATCGTGCTTTTTGTGGTCTATAAATTATAATTAACATTTACAACAGGTTCTCGACACGTGAATATCTCGAAAGATGCTATAATATTTACTTCTTTTAAGACGATTTACATTAGGTTTGTGTTTTAAATATGTGTATGCATGCGCGAGTGCACGTGCGTTCTTTGCTTGAAGATTATGCATTCTACAATACAAAAATGGGCACAATTTACCATCTAATTACTTTATTTGCAAATCTTTTATCAACTTGTTTATTAAATTCCTCAGAAGTATTCAATTCCAAGGCAACATCTTGTTAGAGTTTCAATGCATGTACACAAAAACTATGCAAATTAATGTGTTTTTGTAATCGATGAAATTCAAAATTTGTCTCTTCATCTCGTGAACAAGTTGCAACGCTCGTGGGTTGTGTTTTTGTGGTTCACAACTAAGGGAACAAAGAGTAGTAAACAAATATGCATGTTATGATTTTAGTAATTTCATCATGTCAAGAAAAGTTAAAATGATTTTAAAGTGCGGAATATTGACTCGAGCTGTAATGTAATATACAAGTCGATAGTACTATCATTTTTTATTTTTTTAAGTGAAAAAGAGCCCTATAATTTTCTTATGAATCTAATTCGGATGATTACACGAGAAACCCAAAGACCTCATTTGGCATTGTGAGGCTTCTATGATTGCACTAGCACACCCGTGTGAAAAATAAGCCGGTGGTTGAATTAATAGGAAACATGTTAGTACGATGAATTAGCTGTCTTTGACGTAGGGGAAGGCCATTTCTTCATCTTCCATTTTAATTTAGGTATGTTTCTCCATTTTTCTTTTAATTTTGAAGAGGACCACATTTTTTTTGTCCCATCTCCATGGAGCACAAAGATCTGTTTAAATCTAATATCAAATTCAATTCAATTAAACAACTCAAGTACGATAAAATGTGCACCGTCACTAGCAGCAGGTACCGCTATTCTTGTTGTTCGTAGCTCCGAATTTACATTACACAAATTATCATATATTGTTGTACTGTATGTCTTAGTCGTACGATCCACATGCCCTAATTACTTTGATATTATTTCTTGAATATTCCTAAAGTACTTTTCCTAAATCCGATTTTTTTTTTCTTTTGTTGCCAACTTAGCAAATCTGTGTAGCTTGTACGAAACTAGAATTTAATTGATATTTTCACTGATTAACGTGCATTATTGAGATTACTATGTCTGATCAAGGAAGCTTCCTAGTAAATAACAAAAATAAAAATGAACGTGCATGTTACCTAATACCAGACAATTAAGGAGAGTTTGTCATTAACAAAGGGTAATGACCATTAATTACCAGTTGCTTAATGGAAAATAATTGATTATTTCTCCTGGCAAAACCCCAAACCCTAAGGGAAAATTAGGGTTGGGTTTCCCAATATTTCACTATAGTTTTGTTATTGGTCATCAACTTATAAAATTGAAGTTTTAGTTCATCAACTTATTGAAATTTGTAAATTTGGTCCTTCTGTGACGCAAAGTCGATGTGAACGCAGAAATTGTACGTGACTCTCGCGATCTAAAACTCAAAGGTAAAAATGTTCAAACCGACTTGGCCCCTGTTTGACAACCAATAGTATTTTTCAAGAGAATGTGTGGTTAAAAAAGTAGGAAAATTTTTTGGGTTTATGTGTAAAATATTTTATTGTGTGAATGTTTGATTGAAAATAAGTACGTAGAAAAAAGTGTTTGAATATAATGATTTTCAAACAGGGGCTCAAGTGGATGTTGGCTAAATTTATAATTTCACTTACAATTCAAAAAATAAATAAGTTAAAACACATATTTCACTGAAATAAGAAATAATCTATTCAAATTTTAGATGAATCAACCTAAAATTGAATTGAAAGCCAATGAAGAAGGCAATCCTTTCATCGATGGTAGAAATTTGTTGACCAATTACTTCCATGGAATTACATTGCCTTGAATTTTCTGGGTAACTGTGTAGGGTCGGTTTAACAATGGTTTTGAACTCGTATTGAATAGTTTTCTGAAAGTGTTGCGTATATTTGGAAGTGTTTTTAAAGAAATGTGTTTTAACGTAACTTTCTCAATAAATTCTTTTACGAAAAGTCGGACTAAAGACGAAAATCTTGTCAAATGGACCCTACGTTTATTAGCTGTGTGTGTCTGTGCGAGATTGAATTTGAAGACAAATGTAACTGTATGGGACAGGGTTCGTGGTTATGAATAGTAAACGGATAATGGATGGAGAAATTCTGTACGTGTGTGTGTGAGAGAGAGAGAGAGAACACACATATATGTGAGAAATAATGCTAATATTATGTTGATATTAGGTAGGGTGGACAACAAGTGGGCCACTGCATTTCCACATCTTGTCTAGATTTTAAGTTGCTGTCGCTTTCTGATTCGTGCTCCATTTTATTCCCTTAACACACTCAATTTTAGTTAATTCAAACAATGAAGAGTAAGGGCTCAAATACATTATTTTTACGGTCTTACTATTTGTACGTCACATTATATAACGGGGTGTACACTCCTCTTATATGAGGATGGGACCCGCTTAGATTAAAAAATAATTTATGCAATGGGTCCCACACCCCATGTGAGAGTGATGTATCCCCTTATGTACAATGTGTGATGTACAAGTAGCATTTTTCTTATTTAATACAAGGGATGAGACTTACTTTGCAGTGAAAGCCAATGAAGAAGGCAATCCTTTTCATCGACGATAGAAATTTGTTGACCAATTACTTCCATGGAATTACATTGCCTTGAATTTTCTGGGTAACTGTGTAGGGTCGGTTTTAACAATGGTTTTGAACTCATTTTGAATAGCTTTCTGAAAGTGTTGCGTATATTTGGAAGTGTTTTTAAAGAAATGTGTTTTAACGTAACTTTCCCAATAAATTCTTTTACGAAAAGTCGGACTAAAGACGAAAATCTTGTCAAATGGACCCTACATTTATTAGCTGTGTGTGTCTGTGTGAGATTGAATTTGAAGACAAATGTAACTGTATGGGACAGGGTTCGTGGTTATGAATAGTAAACGGATAATGGATGGAGAAATTCTGTACGTGTGTGTGTGTGAGAGAGAGAGAGAGCACACACATAGTGAAAGCAATATATGTGAGAAATAATGCTAATATTATGCAGATATTAGGTAGGGTGGACAACAAGTGGGCCACTGCATTTCCACATCTTGTCTAGATTTTAAGTTGCTGTCGCTTTCTGATTCGTGCACCATTTTATTCCCTTAACACACTCAATTTTAGTTAATTCAAACAATGAAGAGTAAGGGCTCAAATACATTATTTTTATTGTCTTACTATTTGTACGTCACATTATATAACGGGGTGTACACTCCTCTCATATGAGGGTGGGACCCGCTTAGATTAAAAAATAATTTATGCAATGGGTCCCACACCCCATGTGAGAGTGATGTATCCCCTTATGTACAATGTGTGATGTACAAGTAGCATTTTTCTTATTTAATACAAGGGATGAGACTTACTTTGCAGTGCCGTAATTGACAAGGTTGGCGAACAGAATGCCAATGGTGATGTTAAGTTGAAATAAGATGTTGAGGCCACCACGTATTCTTGTTGG